GCCACAGCACTTGCCCTGAACCCACAGCCTAGAAATGTACCCTGACTGGGACTTGAATCCAAGACCGTTTGGTGTGTGGGATGACGCGCTAACCAACTGAGCCATACTGGCCAGGGCAGTCCCACCCACTTCTAAGGGCTGATTTCATCTAGTTTATGCATATTGGCTCCACCTTACATCTCTTTGATGGAAGCCAGTACCTTCAAGTTATCCATTTACCTACTGTACTGCGTGTGCCTTTGTTTGGCGTTAGCTGTCAACACTTTGCACATATGAAATCAATCTGTGTGACATTAATGTAAACATTGTGCATTACAAACTGGTGGACATTTCATTGTTCTAACAGGAAAAATAGACAATATGTTTGCATGCATGTGTTTTCCCTACAGCAAAGACAATAACACAATATAAATGGCAATATGTGTTTTACAAAAGAGGAAATGAATTATATAAAAGAGGTAAAAGCAAGGGGGAGGGCTGTGGGAGAATGCCTCATGTTAGGTGATTCTAACAGGGCAGTGGGGGCAGGAATTATGCACAGGGTAAAGATTTTTATGAGAAAAATTGTCATTTAAAATGTCACTTTCCCCAAATGTTATTATAATCTCATTTCCTAATTGCATGAGCAATACCACCAGTTTTCACAGTGCTTTAATAAGGAGTCCAGTTGCTTTAATTTTAAATATAGTCAATTTCCTTGTGCTGAGAAAAGAGCACACTGCCTTTAAGAGCAGGGTGACTGACAAGACGGAAGAATGCGGGCAGGATGTGGAGGCTGAAGCCTTTCAATCACCTACCATTAATATGATTCAATTTATGCTTATGTCATAGGTTTAGACACTGCACAGTGCTGTAAGCAAGGGAAGGACTTGAATAAAACAGTGAAGAAAGCAGATGGTATGCTATCAAAACCCTTCAAGCCTAAAATAACCTTTTCCAAGTAAGAAGGATAGTTAATTAAAACCAGGATATATTTACTCTGTTCGGAATATCTCAATGTAAATAAAAATCAAAACGACACTACTGTAATGTGAGACTAAATGATGAAATTCCATCTACATTATTTTTCTTTAATAGTTTCTAATCAAACTTTTCATTAAACAGCTTCATAAAATTCCACAGAGAATTTATTTATAGGGACTCATGATAGATTTCAATGCCTTGCTTTTATTGATCAATTAAACTTGTTTATTCAGCGGACAACATTGAAAGGACAGGGGAGGGGGTTGGTGTCTGGGAAGTTGGGCAAGGTTGTCACACACACAGCGAAGCCCATTTTTCAGAGATGAACCCCGGGGCATGCAAGGAAGCCCTAGAGCACGTGGAGAAAAAGTGGGGCATCCCGGCCCAAGAAGGGACATTCAGGTCTAGTTCCAAAGCCACCGCTTACGCTCATCCCAGCCCCGGTCCACAGACTCAGGTTCGCGTCTCCCTGGTAGAGAGAGCATCCGGCCATTTAAAAACCCACTGAGGGTGATAACTCAGGGCCAAGAAACCTAAGAGAGGTCAACAATTGACCAGGGTGAAGGCAGCAATTCCTCACAGGGAGAGTCAGGACATGAATTTCATTTTATTAATTAAGTAAGTAACTAATTAACTACTTTTTATCGATTTTAGAGAAAGAAGGAGAAAGAGAGAAACACTGAGGTGAGAGAGAAACATTGATTGGCTGCTTCCCCGCACCAGAGATCAGGGCGGAAACCTGGACGTGTGCCCTGACGGGGAATCAGACTGGCAACCTTTTGGTGCGTGGGATGATGCTCAACCAATTGAGCCACCTGGGCCAGGGCAGGACATGCATTTTAAGTGATCTAGATATTTCTAAAAGGTTTCCAATAACCTCTTTGCTTATCCTCTAAAACCAGATCCAGTCCTGCCTTTTCCTTGCGGCTTCCCTCTCTCCACGGTCAGGATCTCCAATCACTTCACCCCTCCCACCCCCAACGCACCATGAAATTCCTCCTGCACTTGCTTTCTATAACACTCACCAAATCCTTAATCACTGACTTTCTTGTAACATTAGTTAACTTTCAGGTGCGTTACTCCTGTCTTCCCCAATTAGACTTTAAATCCTCAAAACTAGCAGGGACTGTGCGTTATTTACCTTTGGAACACCCCTCCCAGCTCTACTCCATAATCCCATTTAATAGAAGAAAGCAAGAAATATATTAGTTAATAAAATAAACATTATTTAATCATAGGAAAGTAGACACTGTCCTTTTGAGAAGGGCCTCGGAGGTATTTTATGACAATTTATGAATTTCACGTGTCAAAGGTGTAGCTGCTAAATGCTATAAACCCTTTGCCATCAGCTCCACCATTCATCCACCTGGTGATATGGCTAATAAAATTTGATTTTTACAGCCGGGGCATACTGTTACCTAAATTACATCTGACCAATTACTGAAGTCACCGAGCGTGTGGTACAGAATATATACTGTGTGGAAATTCATCTGTGGGCCCCCTGGCACTCGCGGTAATCTGACAGCAGTGTTTCAGTCATCTGGCAGTGTTTAATATTAGGAACATTTGTTTAATGCTAGTCACTAATTAAATTTATGTTCTTCCACCAACTGTTACTTGGTTGGAGAAACTCAACCCCACGTTTTAACAAACCCTTTAACTCATGTTGATTTCTAATACAACCAGTTGGAGGTTTAAATGTGTGTTCTCTGAAAATTTAGGGTGTGAGCAAAAGTGGAAGGTGGGGGAGGTATCCTGGTGAAGGTGTTCAAATCAGGACAAAATAAGCTTTTGGGGTTCACTTACTAAAATGCAATACTCTAAGAACAAACTATTTGAAGTATAAATGTAACTAAAAAAAATCTAGTATTCTAATGATTAAACTAGCCATCTAGAAGCTCTTTAAAGGCAACTTTATTCCAAAAGAAAGCTTCCACTTTAAGAGGCTGGAGAAGAAAAAGTGCATTAAAATTAGCTATACCGGAGGAAAGTCCAGGAAAACATTCAAGTCAGATGCTTGTGTCTGTGAGAACATTTAAAACCAATTTAGTAACTTAACTATTGTGATCACTGTTAAACTGGAATTTCTTTCTATTACCAGTTCTAGATGCGAAAGCTTTGAAACTCAATGACTAATAATTCCTAAATTAGCTCAAAAGGCTGAAACATTTTTTTCATTATATTACATGGTGAAACTCTAATTTTGAGTACTCTTAAGGGCGGGAAAGCATTCTTTGAGTTTTATTTTGTGTCAGGAATTTATAGACCTCTTTAGGGCCAAGCAGGATGGAGGGCATGGAAGAAGAAAAACTCAAGATGGAAGTATTGAAAAGGGAAGATTTGTAAATGCTGATCTGAAAAGAGAGGGTATTTTTTAAAATGTATTGGATACATTCATCCAGCTGAATATACAGGTTTTTTGAATATTAAAAATATAACAATAGCTCTGGCTGGGTAGCTCCATTGGGTAGAGCATCATCGCCATACATCAAGCTTACGGATTCGATCTCAGATCAGGGCACATGCAAGAATCAACCAATGAGTCTATAAATGAGTGGAACAACAAATCAATGTTTCTCTCAAATCAATCAATAAAAAATTTTAAATATGACAAATTCTTCTTGGGAGAAGGAAAATATAACTTGTATAAACACTATGAATCTCTTACAGACTGACTGACAGCCATTTGACAAACCAGAGATATGAATGGCATCTAAAAAAACAGTCTGTAAATAAATGTCATGTCCAATTAACTTAGGTCCCGTTCCTCTCTTTCTTCCCTTTCTTCTTGGGTCATCATATCCCATCCCCTCATCCACACCCTTCCTCTGCTAGACACGTCCTTCAATATCTCTACCACAGAAACCACAGGGCTGCTGAAGTCATGAATAATCAGATTGGAGAAGCCAGAGAGGATTTCCAAAGCCATGCCAAGGCCTGTAATGGTTAAGCAGAATACTCTGAATCTGAATAATCTGCAAACCAGGGATCCGTGAGAAGATGTTAGCCAATAGAACCAAGGAATGTTCCAGCTCAAGGGACCACATGCGCTCTGTAGGCCAGAGTCTCAACTTCTTTGCAACCCAGGTTCCCATGCAGGTAGTCATCATACTGGTCACTCAATGGTGGCAGTTCCCAGGGGAGGGAGACGGTGAGGCTGGGGGTTGTTCACGTCTCAATAACTATAGCAATTCTCTGGGAACATGTGTATTTTGATAAAGTGCCCCCAGGGTATTCTAATAACCCTGCCCACTGAGAAGCACTGATGTGATCCAATCTCTTCAACAAACAGATGAGAAAGATGTGAGAGATGAGATCTTGGCTTGCCTCCAGTCATGCAAGGTCTTCCAAACGGATGATACATCTTTTCCTCCTTCCCTTCTATGTACAGAGATAAATGACCAATCAGCTGGGCAGAGGTGCAGATAAAGATATGTGTGCATATATCCATCTTTGGTGAGCACAGTATATAAAGATATATGGGTATATACAGATATAGACCTATTTCTTCATATACTGTGCCCACCAAAGATGAATATTTATGTAAATATACATACATATATATGAAAAAAAAATCTAGCGGTATGGGGATCTGTTATCTATCTATCTAGCTATTCATCTTCTAGGTATGAAAATGGTTACAATTGGTGCATTTTTAAGTTCCTTATAACACTGAGAAGTGAGTATCAGTTAAATAAAAAAAACCCACAAAAAACAGTATCTGAATAGCCAGAGCCTTTTAAGAAAAAACTAACATGAAAGCTTCCTGTCCTAAAGTCCAATTTCAAGGTCGACCAAGCAACTTCAGACTCTATATTGAACAACAAATTCTAAATAATAATCTTTTACCCTAGTAAACAGAGGCTGCCAAGGAAGGCAGTCATGCCTTATGCCGCAATAATTTGGGGGATGGGAGGGGTAGGGTGGCACATTAGGCCTGTGAAAATAAACCCTGTTCCCCATCACTGCTCTTCACAAGAACTGAAATCAAGCAGACACGCACGCACAAGTTTCATGTAGAAAAAAAAAAGACTTACCAAACTCATCACATATACTCTCATTTTCTATGAGAGTAGGGTGGTCAAAGGTGTCCCGACAGTAGAGGATCTGGGGGTTCTTGCTGACCACTGCGATGCCTCCCAGGGCTAACGCGAACTGGTCCGTTAGAATAGAAGACGGCTTATCTTGGATGCGTTTCAGCATCGAGCGGTAGCGGCAGTACTGGGGGTAGCTGAGCACGATCACGTTCGTTTCTTCCTCGTCCTCTCCTAGACGACAAACAAGAAAAACACTTCCATTACCCTCTTCCCTCCAACTGTCATGGCCATGGCATAATTTCAACAGTCTCTTCTGGGTTTTGTAGTAAAAATAGAGTCTTCAACAAGACTCTTATACCAGTTCATCTTCATTACAGACTGGCGAATGCATCCTCCTAGCCCCACCTCCTCAGTCCAGAGCCCCCCAAAAGCCTCAGGCTACCTGGAGAGAAAAGAAAAGGTGGAGAAAATAAACAGAGGAATGGCCCTATAGATGGATTAAGCAATTTGGGGTTCACCAGCAAGCAGCGGAACCAAAGAAAACTGTTTTGAAAGAATTGAATATATATTTTAAGCATTAAAGTCATCCTTATAGGAAAAATCAGAATTTTGTTGAGCTTCTTTATGCTTATTTCCACAGCCTGGTATGGCTCTTTTTATTTTTATTATATCATCTTTCAGTGCTCGGAGGCTCGGAAAAGTCATCTGGCCCCCAGAAGATGTCCAAAGAGCCCTGACCGGTTTGGCTCAGTGGATTAGAGCATTGATCTGCAGACTGAAGGGTCCCAGGTTTGATTCCAGTCAACGGCATGTACCTTGGTTGCGGGCACATCCCTAGTAGGGGTTGGGCAGAGGCAGCTGATCGATGTTTCTCTCTCATCGATGTTTCTAACTCTCTATCCCTCTCCCTTCCTCTCTGTAAAAGATCAATAAAATATATTTGAAAAAAAAAAGATGTCCAAAGAGCATCATTGTCTGCTTTGGTGGTTAGTGCTATTCAACAAATATTTCTGGTTCTCCCTCCCTCTCTTTCTCTTTTTTCAAAATTTATCTTTATTGTTGAAAGTATTACAGATATCCCTCCCCCCCCCCATTGATCCCTTCTAACCCCACCCCCGCCCCACCCCCAGGCCTTCACCACACTATTGTTTGTCTGTGTCCATGGGTCATGCATATATGCACACAAGTTCTTTTAGTCTTCATTGGAGTCAAGTGGTTACATGACTTGTTTTGGCCAATGAAATATGACAGAGGTGAGTGGCTCCTTTAAGAGCCAGTGTTTGACCACACTCCTCCTCTTCTCTGAACATCTGTAATGTTTCAGATAGTGGCAACTCTGCCAGTCTGGGTCTTACTAGTAGAGTGAGAATACCATGGAGCGGAGTCCCTGCTTGATCCTAAATGGATCTATAAGCAGAAAAGAAGCTTTCTGTATTTTATTTTGAGTGAGACTGCGCCTTGGGGTTTATCGGTTTTTGCAGCATGGTCTATCCCAACTTGATTGATACATCTACCTTCTCTGCCCTCCCCTCATCCCAGACCCCCTATCTTCTAATGTTCCTCAAACCCATCTGGTAACTTGGCACATCTCAGGGAACCACACTGAGAGGACTCCCCAAAGCAACCTTGTGAAAGAACCAAGTTAACTCAGGAGAAAGTCTCAGCGATGTTAAAGAAGCCCCCTCTCGCCCTGATCTTAATGCTTACTTACACCGCACTGTACCAAGTGCTTATTTCTAAAAACCAGATTCTGCATGGACGAATCCTTCCTTCATCTTAGGCTCGAGAAATGGCAAACACCCTTCCCCCCCTTTGGTAGCCTGCCACCTGCACAAGGGCACGCTGAATTTAGGCTCCATGACCCACTTTGCCATCTCTCTCTATAACCACACCATCAGGGCATTTGTGAGCAATTCCCAGACATGTCACTTGCTTATCCAAAGGGGAAAATACTCAATATCTCGAGCCCTTCCCATGCTGCAGGGAATTGCACAAGACAGTTGTTAAGGATCCCAACATTATCGTGGCCATCTGGTAACCAGTGGGAGACGAATGAGTGAGGACAGAACATAATGATGGAACATAACCAGCACCAATGGAAGGTGCATGTGTGACCTTTTCAGATGGGGGGCCAATACCCAGATGTATTTCTAATTATGTTCACTTAGTTCCTCGGGCTGGAGGCTTCTTCGAGAACGGAGATGTTTAGCTGCTTTCAAGATGACATCTATTAACAGTTTACATTTCTTAGACTCCTGCCTGGTTTGTGGGTAGCCACTTTGTCAGCTGGCACACTTAAAAGGAAGCATGTTTACATCGAAGGTATGTCCTCCCATGAAAAGAAGTTTGAGATGTTGATATATGTCCCAAGACATGCCAATTTGAGATTTTTACAGCAGACCAAGACATCTCTGCTTTCTATAGAGTTAAACCACAAAAAAATATTTAGTGGAAATATTCAGCAAATATTATCAGAATTCCAGAGCATCTAAGTACTATTTGTAGAAACAGTCTCCAATGTGTCAATTTGTATTATTACACTCTATTTGTCCAAGATGATCAAGATCTGACCAAGATTGTGCAAGGTGAGAGAGAGGGGTATAATTATGAAGCCCCAGGAATTATTTCAGCAGGCTCAGCTCCTAGTACCATCTCCTGTACATAGGAAACACTGCGCAAATACTTGTTGATTCTAAAATTCTATCTCGGTTGTGCTTTGGCTTTCTGCGATGGTGCGAAAGCTGCACTAGTTTCTCTGAGTGTTCTTGAAATGAAATAGAGAAAGTTGAGCCTTTCAGATTGAGTGAGGGAGAAAGACTGGATACGTCAGAGTTAGTGTTACGGCAGATGTTGTCACCTGGACTCTTGGGACCACTTCACTCCCTTCCCATCCCTTCATTCTCCTTTTGGTTTGTTCTGACCATTTTTCATGAGGATGCTATCTCTAACACCTTTCCAATTCTCTGGATGGAATTAGCTTCCTAGCTATCTCCTGTACTTTGAAATGGCTCCTTTTTTCCCTTTCTCCCTTCTTCCCCTTCCCCTTCCCTTCCCCTTTCCCTCCCCTTCCCCTCCCCTCTCCTCCCCTCCCCTCTCCTCCCCTCCCCTCTCCTCTCCCCTCTCCTCTCTTCTCCCCTCCCCTTCCTGCCCCTTCTCTCCCCTCCCCTCCAGCCTTGTTAACACTTGTGATTAACATCCCGACAATGTTACCCTCT